GATAGGCGGGTGGTGAATTTTGTGTATGCAAGAAAGTGGGTTGTATTGATTGTCTCAAGTTAAGTTCTTTGAATTTCCACCTTGAGTGCAGTCATTTGAACTGGAGATGATGGGTGCAATCCATTTTTTTGCAGTCGTGAAATGTATTGCCTCAAAATATGTCGTGTGAATGGTCCACTAGGCTTTCGATTTCCCCTACTTACCGTAATCCCCCGATAGGCGCCTCTAGGGGCGTTTAGGACGAATCATTTTTTTCCCTGTGGGGCCTATAATCGATTTTTTTAATATTAGCCCCAGGGCCTAACTCATGCATAATTTGTTACAATTTAAAGGAAACAAATTTAGGTGCACAATACTGTTCGTTTCTTGATCTCAATTGATATCACTGACGTATGTGAATTCCGAGCTGGGGTGAAGATATTGCCAAGCTTGTTGACCGATCGTCCAATGGGAAAGCTGCTTCTGTGTGTGCTGGAGTCCGCGAATTCAACGGTAACGCGTGCTCGCCATTGGCTTGCATGCGCAAGTGCCACGAAACCTAGTCTCAGGTGTCAGAGAGCTAGATTTCGCGTGTGCGCACGAAAGCAGGGGAATTGAACTCGACAAAAGCAGTGTGATCCGCCGTTTGAAATGATTTTTTTGTGTACAAGATAACGCTGGCTTAAAAAACGAATTACTCTTCAAAAGTCGGAGGGGCCTATAATCGAATTTTGTGTATAAGCCCCTTTATTCTATTAAATGACCCAAGGTCCTAACCTAGGGGGGGTCTTCTATCCGGGGAATTACGGTAGCTGGGGAAGGGATTGCCTATTTCTGTCGTCGACAAAAATACGCGACAGGCAACTATGGAGAACATTTACAATTTTTTTTCCATAATTGATTCGCCAATAATATAGTGTAGTTAATATGTTTACATTAAATTACATATACTTTGGGGAGAGATTTTTTGTTTTCAAAAAAAAAAAAAAAAAAAAAACGAAACAGGAAATGATGTAAAACATGAACACATTCGTTGTTTTCCATCATTGTCTATTTTGAAGTATAATATTATATGTAGTTCTGATATGGCACTTTCATCCAAATTTTTACATAAGAAAGCTAATGAATTTATATAGATTAAATGAATGGTCTCTAATATATTGGCCACTAATCTCCACCTTTTCCTTAGATATACAAGAAAAGGTGACAATTTTTTCAATAAAACTTGGACAAAAATCTCGTCCGATCAATCGCAATAGGTTCCTCCGCAAAAAAAAAAAAAAAAAAAAAAGAGATCGGTATTACCGCGTTCTGCATGTGCAGACGGAAAGGGAATTGGTGTTTAGGAAGCCCTGCGAACGTCAAGTTTTGGACGCAGCTTTGAGGGGAGAATAATGTGAAATGTCAGATTGTTTGTTCACCTTTGTCCTAAAGGAAAACGATGGAAGTCGGAGAATAAGAATAAATTCTGCACCTCGAGTCTGACCTGAGGCTAACCTGCGGTCGAAGGAGCCACGGGGTTTAGAGGCTCAACCTTGGGTCTAGTGACTTTGACGGTCGTGCACCTACAGAGGTGCAAAAAGTCGCAAAACGAGTTGACAATGTACAGAATACCGCATTGAGTTGTCGCAAAGCGAATTGGGAGGTGTACATTGGGAGGCAAAGCACTTGCGCCACTTCTAGTCCGGTTGGTTTGTATGCGAACGGTGTGTTTCCAATCAAGCAGCCGTCAGGAGTCGTAAGACCCGAGGCAATTTCCACCTCGGGTGTTCCCGTATGATACCAGTGTCAGACACGAGCTCTAGAATTACCCTAACTTCACAAGGAAAACCCTACAGCAACCCTACAGTAGTGCACACCATTAGCGCACATCGCGGAGCAGGAAACGGGATGCCAATGTCCAATTTGGGTTCCTATTGGATGGAATTCGGAACGCGAAATCGACAAGGAATAGGTTGGGCGGTTCGGCTAGGGCCAAAGTACGGGAGGCTTGCGGCTTGCCTCTTTCACTCACCGCCACATAAGGAACTTGGGCGACAAGCAAAATATCACATAGCTTTGAACCACGAAGTCCTTGCTTCATCAACTCGTTCCCTCTTTAGCTGCTTGTTATTCTTGTAGATATTCGCCTTCGCTTCACTATACTTAATCTTTCTCCGATAATTTTCTCAACAGAAGCTCTTTCCTCAACATGTTCTCTTTCATTTGATCGATTGCTCAGGGAGTCACGGCCACCTCGCACGCCACGTTCGCGCTTCTCCTCCTCGCCATCATTTCCAGTAAGTTCCGTCCCTCTAACCATTTCGGCGTCCCAATCAGTAATCGTTATCATTCATGGAATGGTGTCACATCTGTGAATTCTTCTTGTCACCTCATTACTGCGTGCCTTGCACTCGTTCTCCTCGCAGCCACAGGAATACAGGCGGCGTGGGGGGCAAACGCCATGGCAACCGTGGATGTGATTCTCTCGCATGTGGGCACGAACCTCACGGCGGGCTTCAGATTCAACTTTGACGTCGTTGCGCGCTGCCTGCCCATTCCTGCCGACACCACCGCGAACAAGACCATGACAGTGACGTGGCTCCTGGCGGGAAAGCCGGCGACAGCAGTGCCGTGCAGGCGGCTCGTGTTCTTCGACTCTCCCGAATGCCGAGGCACGGCCCTCGAGATTGTCGCCAGCCCTACCAGCACCCTTTCAACCACTGGGTCAGCCCAGCCTGCCACATGCTGCTGGACGCAGCTTTGATGTAGTCCGATTAAGCTCGTGTCGCTGCTAGGCTAGATCAACAGCCTTGCTTCAGCGAACCAACAATCCGCAAGTGCTTTCCCTAGCCTTACGTGCTTCGGATTGAAAAAAAAAAAAAAAAAACAACTCGTTTTGCTTCCAGTGTGTGTTGCTGAATTCATGACGCCATCCCTGCAGCACGGCGAGGGTTACCCTGAAGAGCATTTTCTCGTCTGTCCTCTGCGACACCAGTGCGTGCTCTCTTGCTCGCCTTCCTTCCCCCGCCAACCGCTCCCTTCCGCATTGCACTTGCCCAATCCTTGTGGCGCGCATCATGTTGTGCCCATCACAGCCCCCACCCTAACTTTCATCCTTTGCCACGCCAGATCTGTTAGTTTCTCTCGCCCTCTCAATCACTCCGTGCGCTCATCGAGCTCGCCCTCCATTCACTGCGCGCCTCCCCTCCTCCCCTCCATCCTGCACGCCCCGTGCAGCCAGCGGCGTGCGCATAACCACGGAGATGGCGGCCAGTGTGAGCGTCGCGTTCGACGAGCGCCACTGCTCCAGCGTGCGCAGTGACGGCAGCGTCAGCAAGGACGTGAAGGCCACGTGGACGCTGGGCGGGGTGATCCCCTCGCCCGACTGCACCGGCACCGTTGCCGGCACCATTGCCGTGCCGTCCTCCATCACCCTCAGCACCGGCACCAGGTCAGCTAAGTAGCGAAGCTGTGATTCGTCGTTTGCCATATCAATGAGCCTTGTGTTGGGGCTGTGCAGCGACGCAGTCATACTGTGCTACGCCCTCCTCCCTTCGTTCCCCTTCTCCCCATGTGTTTGTTCTTTCCTCTTCTCTCCCCTTCTCTCCTATTCTCTCTCCTCTTCCCTCTTCTCCTCTCCTCTTGTCACCTCTTCTCACCTCTTCTCTCCTCTCTGCCTTTGGCGTGTTTGTCGCATCCCCTGGCAGCACCAAGACCATCTAAGGCTGGACGACAGTCGCCTCTGTGTTGTGTGACATCGGTACGCATCTCAAACCACATCGTTCAAAATCCATCGTATCGCTATCACTACAGCACGCCACCTCCCTACCCCCACCACTCGCTCGTTTCCCACCGATCAGTTCGCTTCCTGCCGACCACGTGCTCATGGTACTCCACTCCACCCCGTTACACCGCAGAGAACATCTGCAAGTATGCCACGTGCCGAGTTCGCTCCACGTGCGTGGCCACGACTGACAGCTAGCGTGTGGCGTGCTCGTGCAACCCGGGGTTTGTCGGCATCGCCGGCACTTACCAAGGTGACTCCCATGCCGAGGTGACTCCTGCGCGGAGAGTGCAGATCCAGTTTGAGTGCCCCTGCCATGCACTCTAAACTGCAACTTCACGACCCTATGCACCTGAGAGCTTGCGCTCTGAGGTCTGCAGAAAACCGCCACTTTTCTGGGCAAGTGTATCCCTCCCCACCAACATGCCACCCAAGCTTGTATTCTTTATACCCCTCCCCCTCTCCCTCCCTCCCCACCTCTCGTCCTGGGTTGTCTCACGTGCCGCTGCAATTCCCGTGTGCGTGTGTGGGCGCCATGCATTGAAGACAAGTGCTTGATCACAGATTGCTCGAGCAACGCGTACTGCATCAACGACGGGGCAGGGAATGTGACATGCGTGTGCCAGCCCGGCTATGAGATGGATCAGATGAATGTCTGCGTTGGTGAGTCGCCAGGCTGAAAAGTGTGTGAGCGATGCTTGTGTGAGTGACCGATGCTTGTGTGAGTGAGCGAGAGTAAGATGCACTATCCTTCTTAAAGCAGCTGCATGACCAGCAGAAGAGAAACTGTTCCATGACCCAACTATTCCATAAGTGCATTGCCGTGAACTGCAGGCCCAACTCTCAGTGCGTGAAGGACGCTGCTGGTAACCCAAGCTGTGTCTGCGACAAGGGCTTCCAGATGCTTCCCAACAACACGTGTGCCGGTGAGCCATGCTTCCCAGCAGCCCATCCTATGGTGTTCATGGCACCATCTCTCTCTCGGTTCTTTAATCTCCAATCTCCTGCGCCACCCCCTGTGCTGCCCTCCTCTCAGACTCCGCATGCCTGGTGCTCGACTGATCTCCGGACGGCACCTACGTTAACAACGCCGGCGTTCGATCCTGCAAATGGGGTATGCCCATCCTCCCTCGCACCCTGCCATGCCACGCCATAGGATTCCTTGTGCCGCACATGTGCTCCCCGGCCCAACCATTAGCCCACTTGGAACATTGATGCCAATCATGTGCCCCTTACGCCCAACCTCGCGCACAGCATGCGGACCTCGCCCACCACCTCGGCCCGTTATCTAGCAAGTACATCGGGCATGGGGCTAGTACTAGGAGGACGCTGCTGCTGCTGCTGATGCTGCTGCTGCTGCTGCTGCTGCTGCTGCTGCTGCTGCTGCTGCTGCTGCTGCTGCTGCTGCTGCTGCTGCTGCTGCTGCTGCTGCTGCTGCTGCTGCTGCTGCTGCTGCTGCTGCTGCTGCTGCTGCTGCTGCTGGTGTTGCTGCTGCTGCTGCTGCTGCTGCTGCTGCTGCTGCTGGTGTTGGTGGTGGTGGTGGTTGATTTGTGTGTTTGGGGGGTTGGGGAAGGGGGGAGGGGGCAAGGAGGGGGAGGGTGGCACACATGTTTGCATGTCATTCATTTCATCGTCCTTCCCGTATTCTCATCTCCCGTGTGCACCCATCCATTTTCCACAGGAGTCATACATGGTTCCTGAGTAACACCCGCTCCATTATGTGCTCTTGAGAAGCGCCTGGCAAGCTTTCAGGGCGAGTTCTCGCGACATCCTGCTTCTCTTCCGGTCCTCCTCGCATGCCCATCGGTGCTAGGGCATGCTCGACCACTTTCTGCGCTGCCTCCTTTAGCTAGGTGTGTTGTGTACCATTAGGATGGCCTCACAGCATTCTCAGCTTACAGTCTCTGCAGGGGATTTGGTGTGTATCATTAGCATAGCTTGGTGTGTATTCATCAACTTAGTATGTCGTTTCTGGTTCTGTTTTTATCATAAATACTGCCTACCGTACATGGGAGACAAGGCTAAAAGGTGCATGAACTGGCCGGCACAAGGGCGCACGTGACACATCCTTAAAGCCCGAGTCTAGAATTACAAAGGTGTTTAGCAAGAGGGCCCCTCTTGAAATGGGGCACATTTGAAAATTGCAAAACATACGTTTTGCATCTCATGAAAAGTTTGTAAATACGTGGGGCAGAGCCAGACCGAAAGTGGCGCGCACCACATGGCCCCTGCGACTGCGACTTGGACGAAACGAGGTCGCACAAAAAAACATGCGCTAAGGCAAGCGACTAAGCGAGAGTGACCTTGGAGCGGGAGTAAGGCGTGTTCAGGGTCGCAAATGTAGGGACTTGGTGACGCGACGAAGTGACGCGCCAGAGACCACAGATTGGACCTACGAGGGAAGCAAAGCGGGCCAGCACAAAACCAGGGCGAGATTTGCTCGACTCGAGCTGGCGGAAACAACCCCACAAAACAGCTACCACACCAAACGTGGAAGTACAGGATTGCGTCATGAATAGCAGCCAACACCAAGAATGCACCGCGTGCATATGCCTATCTATCGCGATTAGTGCCAACGAGGTGCCTACGGAGGAAAACCAAGCTGCTGAGTATTTATTATTCTAGAGAAGCCAAGTGAGTCGCACAAACCCACAAAGCGATAGAGTCTCGGCAGTGCTATAATGCATACCGAGAATAACGAAAGATAGTGAGTGATAGCATAGTTAGGGCAGCCCTTCCCCCCAAAATTTGCGGGGACAACGACCCGTTTTGCGTAGAAGCGACCATAACAGAGTCGCGAGCCGGGTAACGAAAGCGCAACAGGCAGGGCAGTGGAACTTAGTGAAACCGCGGGGGACCCCGAAGCAGGAACGAAGGGATCCCGCGGGCAGACAAGCCGACCGCCGTGCTAACTCGCTCCAAAGAACACGCGCGGGAAGGGGCGCGGGCATTTACGTCAGTTACACTCCCGGGCATCGAAACCCATGTGAGAAACGCAGAGCATCGGGCGCCGTGTGTGAGCGGCTGGAGAGGGAGGGGTGGCTAGAGAAAATGGGGAAGGGATGAAGGGGCCACGCAATAGGAGGATAAAGGGAGGGACGTAGCATGTGGTGGAAAAGGGTGAGCGAGAATGGGGAAGAGAAAGGAACCGAGTGAGGGAAAGTAGGGCAACACAAGGAAAAGTGGGAGGGAGAGTAGGGCAACAAAGGGGGAGCGAAGGAAGAAGAGGACAGCATTTTGATGAGGAGAGGGGCAGAGGGAGGGACGGGAGACAAGAGGGATGAGGGGGTAGACATGCGAGTGACTGTAGATCGTGACATGCAGTGAGAAGTGGTGAGGGAAGGTGGCGCCGGAACTAGGAAAGAGGAGAGGGAAGCGGAGCAACTTGCGGGAGATAGGGGGAAAGGCTTAGAGATAGACGGAAACTGAGAGTAGCGGAGGAGGGAAAGTACGGGATGCGGGGGGGGGGGGGGGGAGAGAGAGGACGGTACCGTGGCCTGTATAAAAAGTGGAGGGGGGGTAAGGCAGCGGGAGGAAAAATAACGGATAGGGAAGTTGGTAGGGATGTTAAAGAGAGGGTCATGGAGAAAAGGGTCGGTCAAGAGGCCACGGGTGAGGAAAACGACGGAGATGCATGCAAAAAGGGGAAGGCTTAAGGTGGGCTAGAGGAGGGTATCGGACTTTTGAGCATTGAGGGTACAAGTGGACCGGAAGAGTGGAGGGAAGGAAGGAGGGGAGAATGGAGGCTGACCGTTACGATTGGTTTATGGGAGGAGAACTGGGATGTGGCTGGGATAAAAAAGGTTGGAGGTTAGATCAGGGGGGAGTGGAGGTAGAAAGAAAAAGACAGGGGGGGGGAGAGGGAGAACGTTGAAAGGGGGGTCTGTTGGAGAGGGAGAAAGTAGAGAGGTGGGAGAAATGGAGAGGGAGATGGGAGATAGGGGGGAGAGATGGCTAGGCAGAAAGCAAAGAGATAAAAGATATAGAAAGGGAGTGTGAGAGTGAGGGGAGGGATGGAGTGCGAAAGAGGAGAGGGGCGAGGAATCCAGAGGGTGTTGTGGACCCTCGAGGGGAAGGAAGGAGAGGAAGAAAGCAAATGGGGGGGTGCTATTATACTCATTGCCAACCGCGAGCACCCCATAACCCCTGTTAACATCCGAAACAGGGCTGCAACAGGGGAGCTGGATGATGCACCAACTACGGCCACTAGTGGGGCGGTTTTCAGCCAGGAACCTGAGAAACGGTACAGCCTGGCGACAAATATCAAAGTCCCGCTACATCTCATGCGGAGCGGTGTTGCGTCGTTGACACCATCAAATGCCTTGCCCAGTTTGAGTTCGGTGTTGTTGCTGTACATGGAGGCCGCCCTATTACTAACACAACACCTCCTCCATGCAGCGGAGACTGCAGCAAGTAATGAAATGGAGTGGAAGCTGCAGCTGAGCCCGCATGCAAAAGTGGGAGGGATATGGGTGTAGAGCTTGCGGTTTGAAACTTTCAAGCATCGCCAATACTTGTCTAAATATGTGATTGCAACAAACAAAACAACATACCGAATCATTACCCCCCTGTGCATGTTTCAAGAAAGATCAACTGAAGGACCTTTTCTTCAGAAGGTTGGGAGCGCACGCAGCCACCGTCCGGACAGCCGAGTGTGGTGGGTTACCAACAGCAGCGGCTATCCTAGGAATGAAGGCGACACGTATTCCCGGGCTTGAGTATTCCTTCACACCCAGGAATGCGCCGGAGGGGACATTGATGGAAAGCACCACTGGTTTCCGGCATGGAGGTGCACGTCGTGGAGCGGCGTTCGAGGAGCAGCAGCGCACAGTGACCAAGAGGGTGCAGACACGAGCACGACCAGCAAAGTCCCCAAAACAGAAGCCGCGTGTGACCAAAAAGTTAGGGGCGCTGCGCTCACTCCCACTGGGGGGCCGAGTACCCACCGCCCAGGCAGGAGTGGTGTCCCAATTGCCACAGGGGGTTCGGGCGGCGCACCAGCGATGCCGGGAGGTGTAGGCTCGGCTGATGTAGGGGAGGCACTGCAGGGGGTAGAGGCCAGTGCACGGGCGACGGGTGTCGAGGGCATGGTCGAAGAGGTTGAGCCGAGGGTTGATGGAGAGAACGCTGATGGAGGGTGGGATGAAGAGGGCACAGAGTGAGTATATTTTGACAACACGACAGGGAACAACATATCTGAGGAGGGCGTTATGGCCATGGAGCAGGAGCACGGCACAAGAGGGTTTGACAGTCGTACAACGATGGCTGCAGATGGTGCGTACGGAGAGAGGGGGGAGCGGGAAATGGGCCAGGCGCACCCAAATGGTGCATCAGCAGACATCACTGAGACCGGGGTGGGGCTAGAGGTAGGAGGGGATGGCCATGCCGATGCCGCGGCATCGCGCATGGTGGGTGGCGAGACACAAGGGGCGACCGGCCTCGCCTGCTTGGGCGTTGGCAGAGCTGGCAGAGAGGGAGGAGGGTCAATGTGCTGCTGCCCCAGATGACGCCAGATCGCCGGTGTTGTGCTGCTCCAATGCGTGTCACGAGGATGATGCTGCGAGGTGAGTGGGCTCATGTTAGCCATGCGGATGCCACGTTAATACCTAGATCCCGAATAACTACCTGCGCAAGCAGCGCACGACAGGGCTGGGGCCCGAGGATAGGTCCTGGCGAGATACCATGGGCGTGGGGGCTTCAGCAGATTTCAGGTGTTGTCCTGTAGCTGCAAATTCTTGTTCCCTATGCCATCCCCCGCCCCTTGCTAGAGAGATATGCTGCGAGAGAGAGAGAGAGAGAGAGAGAGAGAGAGAGAGAGAGAGAGAGAGAGAGAGAGAGAGAGAGAGAGAGAGAGAGAGAGATAAGCAAAGAGAGTGAAATTGGCAGAGAGAGAGAGAGAGAGAGAGAGAGAGAGAGAGAGAGAGAGAGAGAGAGAGAGAGAGAGAGAGAGAAAGAGAGAGAGAGAGATGCAGAGAGCGGGAAACTGGCAGAGGGAGTAAAATTGGCTGAGATAGAGAGATATCGAGTGAGTGAGAAAGTGATATGGAGAGAGAGATATGCCCCAAGGGGAGAGAGAGAGAGAGAGAGAGAGAGAGAGAGAGAGAGAGAGAGAGAGAGAGAGAGAGAGAGAGAGAGAGAGGGAGAGAGAGAGAGATGCAGTGAGAGAGAGAGAGAGAGAGAGAGAGAGAGAGAGAGAGAGAGAGAGAGAGAGAGAGAGAGAGAGAGAGATGCATCGACCATTACAAAAGGGTTGTTGGTGCAAGGGTAGTGTGTGCAAGAGGAGAGTGTGCACGGGCTCTGAGAGTTAGGGCGGTGAGCGCAGTGGCAGTGGGGAGACGGGCAGTGAGTGCCAAGGCATTATAGCTGCTGCCCACAATCACGTGCCCTTACACACCTCCTTACATTTCATTGCCCGCACTCCTGCCTTGCTCTCATGCCGCACTCCCACTCCCCTTCACCTCTCGCCTCTCCCCCTCCCCTGTCCTCACGCCTCTCCGAACAGCAGTGGGCTTGTGGTTCCACAGTGCCACCACTTCACAAAACCGCCCCCAAGAGAGTGGCCAAGGCGGCCAGAGCTAACAGCCATGGGTGATGGCACGGTGTGTTATCTGGTAACAAAC